TATATATATATAATATCTGTCTATATGATATATGGCTACCTTCAGGATCTCTTCAAAGAAAATTTCTAACTCTGTGCATCACTCCTCAGAGGAGTGGCCTAAGTGTTATGTATAATCCATAAAAAGTGTTTAGTGGAAACAGAAAATATAATTCAACTTTACCTAGAGACATGTACCCTTGAATAACTCCAGATGAAATCTCCTTAGAGGAGCTGCTGGATTCCACACTGGAGAGAATCTGCTGAAGGTTGCCCTTGATCCCACCTCCAGCAATGTACTTGGACACAAGGCCCCTCTTCTCATCTGCCGACATGGAGTTGTATTTCTGCAGGGCAAGGGTTTCAATGGCACTGATGATGAAAACAGAATGGGTTTCATGCATGTTGGAGTTCAACAATTTCATGATGAAGATCAATCAAAAATGTATAGGTCTAATTGGTCACATAATATATAAATATATTTATATATAGGATCATGTTGATCTAGACCCCTATCCTCCAAGACCATTTGTGCACCCTGAGCTTGTGGATCCTTTGGGTTCTTGGCTTTGTACTTCAGGGCAGTGATGAACTTGGAAACTTCTGCCCTAGAAACACCATGTGCATCCTCCACAGGCTCTGGAGGTTGGCTAGCAGCCTTAGCCTTAGCTTTGGCCTTGCTCTTCACCTTTTCCTTGACAGGCTTCTTGGGAGCAGCAGTGGACTTTCCCATGATGACAGCAGAATGAATTTTGTATTTGAACCAAAACCAGCTTTGCAAAGATACATATATCATTCACCAAGATCACAAGAAACAGGAAGCAAAGCATTGCTGAATTCATTGGTGTTAAAAATGTTAAAATTTTAACATTTTTTAACTTTTTTTAACTGTTAAAAAACTAGGTCTATATATATAAATCAATTGAAAACCAGTTTTTTTAACAGTTAAAAAAAGTTAAAACATGGTAAACTTTTAACATTTTTTTAACACCAATAAAAAAATGATGCTTAGTCTTGGACTTCTTCTGATCCAACACTTCCACCATGACACTTTTGATTGGGGCCCCTGGCCATTGGTATCCCAGCCATTGTGCTGCCTCTGAACCTGACTTGGCAAGAGCTGGCATGTGAAAGATGTTGCATGTTTGGTGGAAGGGTTCAATATATAATATTTCTCCCCTGAGGAGTGCTGCCTCTATTCATATCATTTACATAGATTTGGAACTGATATATTTGTATTTTGAAAATATATTTGGATGCAATGGGGTGGGTAGTGACTCCTCTGAGGAGTGCCACTTTCTTAGATGATCAGACTACATCCCAAGTCAATGCAAGAGAAACTCCATGATGGCCAATCTCACAAGACAAAAAGCTGGAACAAGATATGAAACACTACTGCACTCAACACAATTGTCAACAGTTTGAGGATCCACACAGCTCTCTGCAGCAGGGTCTGGCCTGAGTGCAACAAGGGTTGGAAGAATATGTTTTTGTGAATGGGGGGATGCAAATCTCTGTTGACTAAGCATGGGCAGCTTGTGCAAATCAGACTTGATTCTTTGCAATGACAGAAAAAAACAAATCATCTCCTCTGAGGAGATTGATACCAATTGAGATATTAGCTACAAGACATCCTCTGAGGAGGTCTTGTACCTCAAAGAGCAGCAGCAGCAAGGACCTTTTTTTTGGAAGATCAGCTCAGCGTGTTTGGCCCTTTGCCATGATCAGCTCAGCACTGCAGCACATAGATCCTTTACCAGACCTTCCCGCAGATTTTCACATCAGCACTCCTATTGTTGGCATGGAGCACTTTCAATGGCTTTCTTCACTCTGTCATCCAGATATTGTTGAGCCTGGAGGGATAGTTTGGGGATAGGATTTTGACTCCCTACCCATTCCCCCCTTTGTTTTTTTTGGTAGATAGCTGCGTGTAATGATAAGGGTCTCTTCACCCCTCTGGATCGCTTCTTATTTGCAGCAGCTGTCAGGGCCTCCTATGGACCTTCAGGTTCTTTGGGAGCATGTTCAACCCTTTCTCCTGACTCCAGGTCTTCAATTATCACTGGCTCGTGATGGATTGGGGCAGGAATTTCCTTCTGCTGGCGCATTTCGAGTGCTAAGTCTTCTCCCCATTCATTCAGGGACTCATTCATGGCCATGCTGAGCTGCTTGCACTCCACTTTGTCTTTTAAGGAGCTTTGCCATTCTCTTGGAGACCATTTGGCTCCATGGTGGGTGGGGCCTTTGGCGCACAGCAGCTCTGGTGCCCTTGGATTGTTCATGTAAAAGGCACTGCACATCAGATTTGCGCATAGGCCCTTGCGTAAATACATCTTCTGGTGGCAGTAGCCACACTTTCTCAAAGAGGATAGCTCCTGCAGAGGCTCCACATCATCCTCTTCTTCCATTTTGACAGCCATCAGTGGCACCTCCACTGCTTTTTCTCTGCTGCCCCTTGCCTCTTCTCCTTTTTTTGCCGCTTCAGCGGCTTCAGCCTCAGCAGCCTCAGTCTCAGCAGCTGCTTCTGCTGCACGCAAATCTGCATCTGTTTCCTCTGCTTCTTGCAGGGTATATCGCTTTGCCTGTTCTGCTGCAGTCCTTCTTGCCAGGACTTGCTCCAGCAACTCTTTCTTTCTCCTCTCCTGCTCATCCATCATGTGCTTCTTATACAATTCTTTTTGGAGCATCTCCTGTTGCTTCTTCTTTTTCTCCTCGTCATCCTCCTTGTCTTCCTCTTTGTCTTCATCCTGAGGATCATCTTTTCCATCTCCTCCATCTCCATCTCCTCCATCTCCCTCTCCTCCATCACCACCCCAATTTCCATCTCCTCCATGTCCTCCAGCACCATCTCCATTCCCATCACCACCTCCACCTTGGGGCGCTTCTCCTTGGGGTGCTTCTCCTTGGGCAGGTCCTGCTTGTCGACCTTCACCATCAGACACCTCTGCAGGAGTATCTTCTGTGCCATCTCCTTTGTCGACTTGTACCTGGCAAAGCACGAACATGAAATCAGAATGGATGGTTTCATGAATGAAGCCTCCTCTGAGGAGGGTTTCTTAAATTGGAAGCCTTCTCTGAGGAGTGCTTCTTAACACAAATGAATGCATATGTGAGCAAAAAACACTGAGCATCACTCCTCTGAGGAGTGCTTCTGATCACAAATGAATGTATGTGGACCAAACAAGGTAAACATCACTGAGGAGTGTACTTGAGACATCAGACTTTGTTTCGAAAAAAAAAAGACCTGGCCTCCTCCAGGAAGGCATTAGGGAAAGAGGCACTTAGGGAAAACATTGCCATTGCCATTGCCAGCGACACACTGCTTGCTCTGGGTGCTGGAGCCAGAAAGAGCATGCAGTTTCCACATAGTTCAACAACAATGCTACACAATCCAACCTCCTCCAGCCAAGTACTTGTTTCTGATACCTTCAATTCTAATACATGAGACATAGACAACTGAAAAAATGAGACACTGCAACATGAAACATGCAAACTCAACCTACCCTGTCCACCAGAACCCACTGGGAATCCAGACATCTCCTCTGAGGAGATGTTGCACATAGTGGCATGGGGCTGCACCTGGCATGGTTGCTGGATAGAAGGACACAACCACAAATATGAGGGAAGGAATGAAAAGGAAAACATGTTTACATATCAATACATGTTTCAATAAAATCTCCTCTGAGGAGTACATCTTTCCATATATTTCTTTGAGGTTGTTTGTTTGTTGGTTGACATGATTGGTAACAGAACAACACACATATGAGTGGAGTTTTAAAAAAACATCTGTCCACCCCTTTGTTGGTTACCACTTGTTACACCCCTGAAATTCCCCCATATATTATACTCCTTGGCTATCACTTTTACATATTTTTGAACCCTTTGGCTACCACTCTTACATCTCTTTTCCCCCTTATGATGACAAAGGTGCAGCTTCAACTTGCAAGCCTGCAGAGAAACAAAACAAGCCAGAAGCACCTGTGTGGTTGCCAACCTTCTGGGCATGCAAGGCACAGAAAACTTGGTTTGAGCCAATGATCTCCTCAAAGGAGATCAAGATACAGCAAACATGATTTCATCAATGTCTCATCAAAAAACATCAATGAAAAAGCAAAAGATCCAGAGACCTTAAGTGATCTGGCCAAAATTCCAGATCACTTAATTAAGGTCTCCAAAACCATGATTTTTGGCAAACCTCCAGATCACTTAATTAAGGTAGCTACCTTAATTAAGGACTATTGGGGGCTCTGGGTTGTAGGCGCTTCCGAAACGGAATCCGATGATTCCTCCTCACCTTTCCCCCGCGTCTCGACCGCTGCAGGAGCCACTGATGCACCACGCGCCCGGCTCGCAGCCGATGGTGCCGGAGGCACCTTCGGCATCGCAGCTGGATGCACGGATGGTGCTCTCGATTGACTCCTCCTCCGAGTCATCATCGGGCCTCGCAGGCATAGCCGTCCGTACCTGACCAGGGTTACATGCAACCAATGTCAACATGCAACTAGCAAGCACGGTAGTTGAATTAAATTCACAAAGGAAGTCCCAGACCTGATTCCCGTCCGGAAAGCAAACCCGTTCAGCTACGCACATGCCCAGCTATACGACCCGTGCCTTGAACCAAACGAAACGGCAACGAATGGCTTACATAGAAACAAACAGACATGGACATAAACCATGCAACTCGCATCCCGAATGATTGGGAATGCATGCTTTGAAGCACAATGGTCCGAACCAGACATGCACGAAACAGGTAACCGTTTTTTTTTTCCGACCCCCAACGCGAATGCAGTGACATCCCGTCAACCGTCTTCTATATGAAAACAAAATAGCAGGTGAGAACCTAAATGGAGAAACCGCGTTTGATCCAGCACGAATTGCAGCAACCCGGCCGCCACCGGCACCTTTGGCAGCCTTCTTTGTGAGCCTTCTTTAGCTTCTCAGGCACAGATGCCAAGAGACGCTCGCGAATCTCACTTTTGGCCATGGTGCCTGCACGCATGCCGGTCGCAGCTGCTGGGCGCTTCAAAAGCTTTTTTTGACTGCCTTCTTCTTTGATGCTTCCGCTTTGGATCCCGCAGATCCCTTCATCTCGTCCGCTTTCTTCTGGGATCCCGCAGACCCCGCATTAAAAATCCCGCAGATCCACTCTGACTTATTCGGCTTTGCCTTTGACGCCTGACTCCTCGCTGCAGGTCGCTTCATGGCAGCTGCAGGAGATTCCGGCGCATCACGGCCTGGCACTTCAGCACGCAGCTGTTCAAGCTCCTGTGCCGCGCTCGACGGTGCCACCGTCTTTGACACAGATGCAGCTGGTGCATCCTCCAGCGCCAACAGTGGCTGCGGCACAAGTGGCTGCGGCACAGCGGCAAAGCTGCTGGGTTGCACTTCAACCCGTGGAAGTACGTCCTCTGCAATGCTTGCATGGGAAGAGACGCTAGCCACAGAGCCTTGACGGCCAAAGGCATTTCCCTCAGCAAATCCTGCCAGTAATCTGCCCATCTCGAAGAAGCCACATCCCTCAGACGTTGAAGGTGGTGCGGCATCTGCATGCTTTCTGTGACGCAACGGATACCTACGCACCAGTTGTTCATAATGCTCATAAGACCACCCAGGCGGAGTATAGGGCAAAAACCCTGCCGGGTACGCATTCGCCAGCAACGCAGCTGGGCAATTTTCTACCACCGCAGGTGGCACTTGCAGATATGCCGCAGGCTCCTGTAAACCCTGCAGCACCCTCTTCAACTTTGGCTTGCAATCTCGCAGCAGTTTCTGCTTCTCGACATCCGTTTGCAATCGAAAGGCACACGCTGCCAACCAAACCAAAGCTGCGATGTTATTCCGCAGGACATCGCATCCCCAAGGCAATGGCATGCCGACACAAGCGCTCGAAGCGCTCGCCTTGCTCCGAGGTGGTGTGCAACATGTTCCACACAGACTGATCCAAGTATAAAGGCAAACATACGTAATCTTGCATGGGCCTCCGTTCTTTGCCCACGCCACCCAACTTATTTGCCAGCAAAGCTTTCAGCTCTTCAATCTGGGCATGCTCCCAAACTGAAGGGTCCAAAGATGACACCAGATCAGCCACGCAAGCGGTCGACACCGAAGGCGCCTTCGCAATCACACCCCGCAGGTGTGTTTACTGCCTGGAGCGCACTTCCTCAAAACTTGCCATGCTGCGCAGCCCCCGCAAGAACCGCTGCGAAGCTTCGATTTGTTTCTGCTGCTCCGCGGTTATTATTCGGATTAGGTTCAATATAATGAGCCAAATGTTGCGAATCATACATTTGTTCATCGAAAAACACTTCGTCGCTTAAAAACATAGAAATTTCTCAAAAAAAAAGTTCCATAACTTCCAAAAGTTCAAATGACCCCATCTTATACTACACCCTAACTAACTTATAAAATCTTATAAACATATATATATATATTTTTAATGAACCTCACTTATCCTTATATAAGTTATGTTTTAAGTACCTTATAAGTTCACAAGTTCCCGGCTAAAGCAAAGTAACCCCAATTGTTAGCAAAACGATAAAAAAAACACGTGTTCAATGAAAATGTGATGATTAGTTCATATAATAGTATTACTGTCGCAGTTTCTATTTAAATTTCACAGCCACAAAATTTCACAAAACTGCCACTTATTCAGCTAAATAACCGTACGAAACTTCCACAAAAAAGGTGGAAGTTTTGTATAAACTTCCACATTCAAAGGTTGAAATTTACCAGAAATTTAGTGGAAATTGTTACTTTCGAAACGGTGCCTACGATAAAATAGTCGAATTCGGTTATTTTTCCGACTATTTTTTATCGTATACGTTTTTTTGTCGAAAAAATAGCCGTTGAAACGTTAAAATTTTATCGTCGAACGATAAACATACTTTGGGATCGCCGGGGCACTTAGGCACTTAGCAGGCAGTTAGCAAGCACTTAGGTTTTGAGGTTGCTAAGTCCGGCTAAGTGTAAGCTAAGTGACCGCTAAGTGAAGCTAAGTGTTTCATACGTTTTTTTTTAAAGTTTTCGAGTTTGAGTTGTTTTTACAATATTTCAGTAGTATTAGTGTTAACACTCAGTCGCTTTCTCATCTTTTTGGTACCGACCATTGCAGGGTCAGCGTAGAAGGCAAAGACCGTCTTGGTCTTCACGCAGCAATCGCATCGGCTCATGCTGCCGCAGCGCGGATGCTGCAATGATTTCCGTTCCTCTGCTGAGGCGCTTCCATTTGAGAATGGATGCCTCGGGCATGGCTTGCAATGTGTGCACCAGCACAGAAAGAGAATCTCCTTCTGCAAGGCCATGGATAATTTCAATGCTGCACGTAGCAGACATCTGCACAAAGGTACCGCGTGAGTACTCCACACAGTAGATCTGAATGCCTTTTCCAAAGACAACGTGATCTGGAAGGCCTAGTTCTCTTGCCTTATTCACGTCTTGCGTGGCCTTTCCCAGAAGTCGACCAGTGTATTCACTTTCCAAGTGACTCGTAGTCAGCTCTATTTCTGTTAATTGCAAAAGGGTGCTTCGAGTGAAGCAACTTAATTGCGACAGACGCGGTGCCACTATGGACTTAAACACACGATGTTTGCGCTCCCCCACAAAGCAATCGATGTGTCGATGCCATTTTTGAATTTGGCTTTGGAGATGCAACGAGTAGTGGAATTTGGGTCTTGCCCAAGCCACCGCTGCGTAGGCGACATCCCACTTCTCTTTATATCTTTTCAATTTTCCGGGTAGGTGCCGTGCTGCATCCGGGTGTACTTTGGTTCTTTGCAGCAGCTGGGACACTTCCTGCAATGCAAACAGTGCTTCGTTCGCCGGCTGCATGGCCACATTGTCTGCCAGCATTTCCTTATAGAAGCTGGCAATGAGAGGCAGTGCTTGCAACGTAGTATCTGCATCTCCACGGAAGTCTTGCCCTTCACGAAACAGTTTGTCATTGCAGCATTCCTTTGGGCTCGGTCCACCCATCAGGGTTTTCCAGCCGATGCCCACCCACCGTTGAAGAAAGCAAAGATCGAACCCATTTTGCTTAAACAGCGCATACCAGAGGCCAATGTCTTGTCCCACTAAGCCGTTTGCATAGAATTGATGCATCGAATCCACATACAGAGATTCGATGGATATCCAGTCTTGCAAGGACGTGGATCCCAAGATTCCCTTTTCCATGCTCGACAGACACCATCCCAGCAGTTTTTCTCCTTCCTGCAACTCTGTTTTGTTTCTGCATCCACGCAGGTATGCCACAACAGCTTGCAGACCGTCATCCGTCTGCAAACGTAGCAACGTTGTGTCAGCGTTCCCGAGATGCACATGCCCCGGAGGCAACCTGCGATTACCAGAGATCACGTTGACACAACGCCAGCAAGGTTTTAGCCCCGCTGCGCCCTTACAGCCGGCAAAGGCACGTAGCCCTTCATGATCGCCCAACACCAGGACCTTGCAGATCCAGACCAACGAGGCACCTTGGCGCAGTGTGATTGCTATGCCATGTTGACATGCGTCGTGTACGTATTCAAGCACACACCGCAGATATTCCGCGTGGGAATACCCTTTCTCAGTGATCTCATTGTTTCTCATATTGCTCAACGGCAGCCAGCAAGAATCTTGAAATAAGATCTTTAGTTCCAAGAAGCTTGCATATATCATGCATGACTTTTTAGGCTGCCGAGCGGCCAAGATGTTGCCTGGTGTTGCATCATCTGAAAACACTACGAAGGTTAGGCGTCCATCATATTCTTCCCATGCATCGGACAGCAATCGTGCGAACAAAGGGCAAGCATCCACCTTAGCCTGCAAAAGATCGGGAAGAGAATTGACGTACACTGGCACATTTTGACTTTGGCCGGACCAAAGCTGTCGCATCAGCTTGGATGCGTGGGGGTACGCGTGGTGTTCCCTCGTGCCAGTGCGCCGTCCCAAGTCATCATCGCGTAGCAAACTGATCACTTCACGACAATCTGCTTGACTGAGTCGCGGCAGCTGTCGTAAGGCTTGAAATTGCAACAGAGGATCATCGCCAGCTCTTAGCTTGCGTTTTCTCGGTTGCATGGCCGCTTCCACATCTCCTTTGAGCCACTGTAAACTCAACGGACACATATGTGTTCCCATGCATGACATCCACGATATATATAGACCTGTCACTTGCATACGTCAAGACTTTTGATACATTCTGTCTGTATGTCCGGTGAATCGGATACGACACGGTATGTGACGAAACAGACATGCACATGTGTCAGACATGAATGTTGCTATATCTTTCAAACATGGTGCTAACATGCGATGATACACCCCGAAACATACAAGAGGAGCTGCCGCAGAACAGAATATCTTTTTCACTGCAGTTGATAGTTCAACGCTGTGCTGTGCAGCAGAGACAATATACCCCAATGTCACTACCAGAGACTGAAACCTAGAGATTGTGCTCGGCCCTTTCTGCTCTGCACGTGCGGACATACACACTCCTTCACATATAGGGATCGCGTGCGTGCGCCAATGACAGCGCTGCCTCTAACGTTGCTCCGGAGACCTTGCCACTTAGGCAGGTGCCTTCACACGACGCCTCTTGGGCGCGGGCTCTCCCGTGGAGGTCCCCTCAGCCTTTGCCTTGGCCTTTGGCTTCGGGAAGCTCTCACGCAGCGCCTTGATGCCTTCTTGCCCTTGTTTCAAAAGGACCTTGAGGTCACTTGCGTCAAATGGCAAGGGAGTCAGTTCCACGTGGGAATCGCCTTCACTCTTAGCCTTGTTGCTTTCCTGCTGATTCACTGCTGCCCGCGCTGCTTCCGCCCAACGCTTGACCTTGGCCAAGCTATCCTTGCAGACAACCATGGCAGGACCGTCAGCTTCGGGCACCATCTCGCCTTTGTTGATGATCTTGGAGAGAGCCGTCTCCGTCGATGCCATGCATCCCAAGCTCTTTGCCGCCAACGTCGCAATCTTCTGGTTGGACGTTTGTTTCTTCTTTTCGGCTGCTGCTTCCTTCCGTTCTTCTTGTTTCTCAGAGCTTTGGCCACTTGGGCCTGCCGCCACCGGAACATCCAAATCGGCCGCTTGGGCACCACGCTTCTTCGATGCCTGTTTTTCGCGTTCTAAATATATCCTCTCTTCCACTGATTCAAAGACTTGCTTCCACGTTTGCTTCTTGATAGGCACCTTGAACACCTCGCAGCCATACTCCGGCGACTCATAGCTCGGAAACCGACGCACGGTCTCTTCCTGCCAGCCCCTTTGCAGCAGAACGGACATGGGCAGCTCTTCGATGTCAATCTTGGCCGCATGGCTTTTAATCTGTTTCTCTGTCAGTTTCTTCACCAAAGACGCCCTGATGGTCTGCCATTGCAGATGTGCCCCATTGACCTTCGATCCTGCCAGGCTTTTAAAAAAGTCCGTGGACTCTTCCGCGTCAAAGTCCTGCAGGTCAGCATTCGTGCCCAGATGCCTGCGGATGGTGCGGTCCACAGACATGCACTGGGAACAACGGAAATATTTGCCATGTTGACGCCCATCCGTGCTGCCGTACAGGAGGCCACACACGACACACCGACATGTCTCCACTTGGGAGGTCTCAGCAGAAGTCATGCGGCGACACAACTATATAGAGTGAAGAAAAACCACGCCGGAGCCAGAAACCTCAGACTGAAAAGCCAAAATGCTGCGGAGCACAGGAATGCCAGGGAAGCGAAATCACAACGACATGCTCCAAAGCCCGCGGACAAGGTACCAATCCATGCAATTTCAAAGAAGGTCAGGTCGCGGACATCCGCAGACAAAGGAACGTACTACCCCATTACATTCTATAGGCACTGCGGTCAACCAGAGACAAACAGCGCCTCACCGGTCCTACTTTTTCCATCCGCGGTCAGCATCACGCGGACAAGTCGTCTGGGCTGTCTGAGACCGCGGTCACTCGCGCTCATCCGCGGTCAGTCCGCGGACAAGTGCGGAACCTGCTTCAGACGCTTCGAAGCTCAGCCGTCCTTTGCGCTCGTAGCGCCATTGCCGCAACATCTTCTGCACCAGTTCTGACGCCCTGCGGCTCCATTCGAACTCTCGCGCCCTATTATGTTTCATCAAGAAGTGCCATGCCAGTGTGCTTAAGGCCTTGCGGCAGGCAATGCATTCCTTTTGGAACCAGTCGTCAGATTCCATGAGGAAGGTCCACCGGCAAGGCTCTGCGTCTACTCGATCGTGTGCCCTCACCAGGCAGTAGCCTGGAATCTTTGGATGCGGCGGTACGTCCAACGCCGTAGCGTGCCATACCCCCAAGTCTATGAGTGCTTCCATCCGCGACAGTACGCGGCGATCCCTAACCGTAGCCAGGAAACGTGCGTCCCGTAGACACACTGCTACCTTCCCCCACTTAGTGGCAAAGGTATCATATGGCACCGCTGCGACCGTAGCCGTCATTGCGGAAATCACTTCCTCCAAGCCATGCGGGGCTATTGCAAAGGAAACATCAACGGACATGACAGCACGAAACGCTGGGGATTCCCCGGAGCCACGCTAACAAAACAGCTGCGGGAACGAACACATTAACACGGCAGCCAAGCTGAACTGACAGTGGTACACGGCATAGCAGCACTAACAACCGGAAACCAGACCCCAAGTTCGGCAACTTCTTTTTGCCTCGGCTCGCAGCAGCTCTCGAAGGTTCACTTCGCCTGTAAGGACGCGCGTGGCACCTTGATCCACACCATGTCGGCTCCCTTGTCCTTGCCATGGCGCTTGGCCTTATGCCCGTCTCCGTCCGACTCATCTGTGCTGGGGGGAGGACGTCGCCGGCGGCTGCGATCCACCTCGGGGGTGGCAGAACGCGGCCTGTGCCTTCTTCTTTTCTTCTTATTTTTCTTCTCTGGCTTCGGCTCCTCTGCTTCCGGCGGCGGCTCTGGTTCGTGACGTACACGCTCTTCCACATATGCCCGATGCTTCGCCGAACTAGCGGGCAACACGTCGACGCCTGTGTCCCCCCGGGCACGCTCGGCGTGCTCCCCCCAGCCTTTCTGCTCGCGCCTGCTCTTGACCGCGTGGGCCCTGTGCAGCGCATCGTCCCAACTCACTTCCCCTTGGCTATATATTTGCCAAGCTATGCATTCAAAGTTCCACCACATATGTTGAGACAACCCAGAACCTCTAGGGGTCCATGCCACAGGAGTCCAGCAGTGCGGACAGTCCTGCGTGCGTTTCCCCTTGGCCTTGCCTTTGCTGCGCGTAGCAGCCATCCCATGACCTCCATCCATTCCATGCCGCGTAGGCCCCTCTCGCTCAGCTTCTAGATCAGCAGGTGGCGAAACCGGTCGCGTAGACCGGTCCCGTGCGTGCCCTGGCTCATCATCCCGCCTCCGATCCCGCACAGGACGTGCGTCCAGAGCCGGCACCGGGCGCACAGGGCTCCGGGATCTTGGTGGTAACTTCGGCCCTGGGTCATCCGAACTCGTCGACGGACTTGGGATTCGACGTTTCGACGTGGCACACGGAGGACCATGGGATACGGTGACCACAGCCTCCGGAAGATCTGCTGGGCCTGCGTCCACAGGCGCGGTACGTTCCGGCCCTGCCTTGGCAGCAGCAGGTTTTGGCGCTGCCTTAGCAGCTCTACGCACACGTGGTGCTCCACTGCCGGCAGCTTCCGGTTCTTCCTCCTCCTCATCGGTGACATAGGAGTACTCGGAATCCTCGCCCTTGCCACTCTTCTCTGCCATGAAGTCCTGCGAGAGGCGAATATATATTAGAGGACTGCATATAAAAATAAAGAAGGAAAGACAAGGCTACCAACATCACAGAAGTGCAGGTCGACACTGTCCTATATATGGACGGCAACTCTTCCCATGGGAATGGGCAGCGACCCTTTACTGCTTGAGCCAATATACCCTTAACGAAACAACAGTGGCACCATCCGCATAGCAACACCCACAAAACGGAGTCTCCTTTCAAAGACAGAAGATCAAATCTCATACACATGCCTTCGTAGAGAGCAGACATGCGCACAACCGACATACCCGCCCAAGTCCCCCTTTCCATGCGAGCATGCATTTGTAACGCCAAACAGGTTCTCAACGTCACGATGTCGGAGGCAATTCAAAGCCCCGAGACCTCCAACACGACACCGTGCAGCGAGTGTAGCGACACTTCGAGCACCCTTTGCGATGTTGCGCCTGGATCTTCTTTGGCACAGAAGCCAAGATAGCTTGACGCCTTGCTGCACGATCTGATGCAGCCACCTTGGCGCCCTTGGGCGTCACTGTGCCCTTGCCTTTGGAGCTTCTCTTCGCAACCTCCAGCTTCTTTGATGTTTTTGTCTTGCCCTTGGGCAATGCAGCCGCCGTAGCGACACTGGATCTCTTAGATCCCACCGCTCCCGTAGGTAGCGTCATAGAGTCCTGCTCCCGTCCCATCGACTTATCTGTGCTCGTAGCAACTGCTGGCCTCTTGAGCCCTGCCTTCCTTACAGCCCTTGGCTTGCCTGTACCTGGTGGCCGCCCTCGTGGACGCAGCGTGCCAGGCCCTTTCTGACTTGCAGCAGGTTTTTTCATTGTCCCACCACGCGCAGCCGCTTCCATCGGAGGATCCATGTCCGCTCGCAACGCGGCCAATTGTTCTGCGACCGACAGCGTAGCAGCGGGTTTAAGCTCCACAGACTCAGCAGTCTCCACCGGTGGACGGTCACAGATGGCCAACTGAGGAGGCCGTATCTGCGCGCATGACCCGGACGGAGCGGATTGGCTCGACTGCATCGTCGCAACGCTTGGTTGTGCTGATTTGCATGCTTCCACAACTTTGCAGATATCTTCCACAGCCAAAAAGCCTGGCGGCACTTGGCCACTGGAGGGCAGCGCGTGGCTGCTTGATTGCAATAAACGGTTATCCTTGCGTAGAGGCATGTGTCGCACATAGTTACAAATCTCTGCGGCAAGATCCGTGATCTGCGTCGGTTTCCCCGTAGGAAAGACGCGTGTCACAATGTCCTGGTCCAACTCTTCCCAAGCCACAGGCAAATCCAAGAGATACTTCGAATCCTCTGCCGCCGTCAGATACTTTGTCACAACCGGCTTGAAGCGACAAAACAAATCATGCTGTTGCCGCGGCGACAAGCCACGCTTGCACAAATTCCATTTGGCAAGCACCACAATCGTTGCCTTCGTAGCTTCTGATGCATTGCGCAATGTCATTTTTGCCGCATGTTGACACAATCTGCATAGCAGACGATCCGAATCCGTGGCGGCATTCCCAACATCCTGCGCCAAATCATCACTTAGATAATACGGCAACATAGTAAAATCTTGGGTAACACCACCACGGTTGCTCTCGACCTCAACAGGACGTGTTTTGGCCGCAACAAGCTCACGGAAGCTATCCAACTGACCAACCGTCCAAAGATCTGCCTGAAGAAGCCTCAGCCATGATGCCGCTTGGGCAGCAGTGAAGGAGACTACCTTCTCCAACGATCTTTGCACCCCTTGAGCCTGCTTGTCCCTGACCTCCTCGTAGGAGGCCAGGGACTGAATTCCACGTAGGAATTTCTGCGCGGCATCTATCTGTTTTTCAGCTGCCATGACTGGAACCAAAATTGCTGCGCAACATGACTTTTCCTGCCAGATTGCCCACGACAATCGAACTATGTGCGTTTTCAAGAAAAAGCTAAGTGATCGCTAAGTGATCGCTAAGTTACTACCACTTAGCACACACTACACTTATAAGTAACCTAAGTCAATAGTAAGTGCCACCTAAGTTTTGATCACTTAGCCATCGCTTAAGTAACATAGCCATCATTTACCCAAAGGATAGATAACTTATAACTACATTTACTAAGTGCCTAAGTCCCCGGCGATCCCAAAGTATAGATTAAAAAAGTAGTCGAATTAGACTATTTTCTTAAAACGATAAAATTTTAGGTTATAGATAAAAAATAGTCTAACCTAGTTTATTGGGAAAATGCAGATTGCCGCAGTCCCGTGCACTTTTTTGCGGCCTGCTTTGCTCCCCCCAGCTGAAGTTGTACCGGCTACCGGTCTGACAGATCTGTCCGTATCACTTGCTGCTAAGCTACCGCCTCAGCACCTTCGGTGCAGGCGGACTTTGAGCCTACGGGTTGCAAGTAGTTTCGGTGCTGGTGTGTAGTTCACAACATTGAAAGCTTCTCAAGTGGAAATTGAAGCGTAAGCCTTGTAGCTTGAATCCTGGCGTGGTTTCCTGCAAAATCACATTTGCCATTTCACCTTCACCCAGGCTTGTTGGTGCCTGTGGCCGTTTCCCAGTGCTTGGAGAATGGTACTGTTCCCTCGATGCGCAAGAACCTTGCAACTCGATGCTATTTAACAAGGTATGTTGGGTTTCAGTGGATTTTGGATGGGGTTGCTACCCGGTTTTGACTAGTTTCATATAATGTACCATTCCACATGCTCACTCTCTCTCTCTCTTTATTTCTTTCTCTCTTTCTTTCTCTCTCTCTCTGTCTGTCTGTATTTTTTTCTTTCGTTTTTTCTTTCTTTCTTTGTCTCTCTCTCTCTCTCTCTTAATTTCTCTAATATAAACCCTTTCTTGTTGTGGTGGAATGATTTGTGGTGGGTGCGTACTGTACGACCTCGCAAGTCGACACAGTATTGGCCCATGCACAATTCCCTCAAGTTGACACTAAACCAGTTCTTGACGCAGGTAGTAATTCCAACCACTTAAGTTTTTTGTGACGTAACTTCGAATCCTGCTACTTCAAACCATGTTCAAGCCCGCTGTGTATGGGCATCGGCGGACCCGGATCTCCTGACAGCAGTTCAGAAGTTGAGACCCCCAAGCGCTCCCAGACAGGCGGGCTTCAGATCAGGTTCTAGCTCCCTCGCCCTGAGAAGAAAATCCAACTTCCAACTGGCTTCCAAGTTACTTCCCATTTTTGCGGGCAGGGGGGTTGCAATCCCCAACCAGCCTCAGGCATGGCATGTCCATGTGACCCCAACGCAGTGAAAACCCAAGATTGCAACGAGCATGTCGCGTTGAATGCATTCACGCACAATAGGTAGAGAAGAGCTAACATGTTTGGACCCTATTTTGCTCCATGATCCAAAAAGATCCAAACAGCTTCAGCTGCGACTACTAGATTGATGAGATGGGTTATGCCTATTGTTAGCTAGGGTTTGCTTCTTTTCATTTTTTTGCCACGTTTTGAACATGAGCGCCACGGCTCTATTGAAGGTGAACCCCGTGAATGGTGAATCCTACCCTGTGCCGCTGGGACACCGTAAGTTCGCATCTGCGAAATTCGTGAATAATAGATGGCAATGCTAATGGTCTGGTTCGGTTTTTTTTGTTATAGTTTTGTTATAGCGAAGGAGAATGGAAAAGGATGATGTAAGGGGCCCTTAAAATTCATATATCAGATAATCTCTATATGCTGATTTTACTGTGTTGAGCGGTTGTCGATGGTTGTCGTGTTTCACAACTGAATTGCTAGAATGCTTGACGTTTCTTGAAAGAAATGTGTTCTGAGTTTTATCCAGAAATCGCAAGCCTTGCCGTGTATTCCTTGTTTCGAGAAGAGTAACGACAATTCCTGGAGTTGGGAGGGCCAACTCCCCTGTGATGTTTCACGGTGCCTTGACGCGGTGTAGACAGTCAACCCGCTCGCGGCATCTGAGGGGCATCACGATTGGAAACTGGGCTGCCGGCTTCGCCACAAGCTACATGGCTGGCATCCTGATCCAGGTGGGAAACACCTTGTTGAAGAATTGCCCCATTGCAGGTGGTGCTTGCAGTACGTAAGGTTTCCAAGACACACTTCCAACGTTTTGAAACCAGACAGCTAGTATGCTGGGTCGCGATTTGCAAAGATCATGCGATGACATGCAGTGATACCGTTGCCGAATGTACTATTGTCGGAGGCAATGAATCTTGCCTTTGCGCATGCCAGTAGTGCCCGGCCCGCACCAGGGCTGAAGTTTCGAAACAATGAAATGACTATAGGAAATCAATGGCCTATAGGAAAGCTTTTGCGATGTAGTAGCAATGAAGTAAGTGTTGAAGTTGTGAGGCGCATCAGCGAATGAGCAAATGATTGTTGAGACTAGCATGAAAATCAATGAACAACAAAGGATTCAACGAATCAATGGATCAATGAATCAACAAACCAATGCATCAGAGAATTACAGAATCAATGGCCCAATGATTCAGAAATTCAACGAATAATGAAACAATGAAGCAACAAATCAATGAATCAGTGAATCAACGGTTCAACAACTCAATGAATCAGTGAAGCAACGAGTCAGTAAATCAATGAACCGTTTATTGAACAATCCAGTGAGTTGTCAAAGGGTCAACGATTCAGTGAGTCAGTGAATCAATGAAGCAGTGAATCACTGAATCAAGGAATCAACGAGTCAATGAGTTAATGATTTGAAGATTCAATGAATCAATGAATCACCAATGGTTCAATGTTCAATGAATCAACGCTTCATTGAATCGATGAATGAATGAATCGATGAATCAATATATATCCGCGAATCAACGAACCAATAAACCGATGGTTCCCGACTCCGTGAGTCAATGAGTCAATGAATCAGTAAAACAGCGAAGCAATAAATCAACAAATCATTGGTTCAACAAGTCAGCGAGTCAGGGAGTCATTGAGTCAGTGAATCACTGAATCAACGAATGACTGAATGACTGAATGACTGAACGAACAAACGAATGAATGATTGAATGAATGAATGAATGAAACGAAATAAAATGAAATGTAAAGAAATGAAATGAATGAAATGAAATGAAATGACATGAAATGAAATGAACTCAAGTGACATGGATTTAAATGAAATGAAATGAATGAAAGAAATGAATGAAATGAATGAATGAATGACTGAATGAATGAATGAATGAAATGAAGAAATGAATGAATGAATGAATGAATGAATGAATGGAATGAAACGAAATGAAATGAAATGAAATGAAATAAAATGAAAGAATGAGAGAATGACATGAATGAATGAATGAATGAATGAATGAATGAATGAATGAAAGAATGAATGAATGAATGAATGAAATGAATGAATGAATGAATGAAATGAAATGAAATGAAATGAAATGAATGAATGACTGAATGAAATGAATGAATGAATGAATGAATGAATGAAATGAAATGAAATGAAATGAATGAATGAATGAATGAATGAATGAATGAATGAAGTGAATGAATGAATGAATGAATGAAATGAATGAATGAATGAATGAATGAAATGAATGAATGAATGGAATGAAATGAAATGAAATGAAATGAAATGAAATGAAATAATGAATGAATGAACTAATGAATGAATGGAATGAAACGAAACGAAATGAAATGAAATAAAATGAAAGAATGAGACAATGACATGAATGAATGAATGAATGAATGAATGAATGAAATGAATGAATGAATGAATGAATGAATGAATGAATGAATGAATGAAATGAATGAATGAATGAATGAATGAAACGAATGAACGAATGAATGAATGAATGAATGAATGAAATGAATGAATGAATGAATGAAATGAAATGAAATGAAATGAAATGAATGAATGACTGAATGAAATGAATGAATGAATGAATGAAAACATGAATGAATCAATGAATGAAATGAATGAATGAATGAATGAATGAATGAATGGGTGAGTGAGTGAATGAATGAATGAATAATGAATGAATAAATGAATGAATGAATGATTGAATGAATGAAATGAATGAATGAATGAATGAATGAAATGAATGAATGAATGAATGAATGAATGAATGCAATGCAATGCAATGCAATGCAATGCAGTGCAATGCAACGCAATGCAATGCAACGCAATGAAATGGAATGAAATGAAATGAAATAAAATGAAAGAATGAGAGAATGAATGAATGAATGAATGAATGAATGCATGAATGAATGAATGAATGAAATGAAATGAAATGAATTGAATGAATGAACGAATGGAATGAAATGAAATGAAATGACATGACATGACATGACATGACATGAAATGAAATGAATGAATGAAATGAAATGAAATGAAATGAAATGAACTGAATGAATGAATGAATGAATGAATGAAATGAATGAATGAAATGAATGAAATGAATGAAAGAATCAATGAAGGAATGAATGAATGAATGAATGAAATTGATTGATTGATTGATTGATTGAATGAATGAATGAATGAATTGAATGAAAACAATTGAATTGAATTGATTGATTGAATGAAAGAATGAATGAATGAATGAATTGAATGAATGAATGAATGAATGGAATGAAACGAAATGAAACGAAATGAAATGAAATAAAATGAAAGAATGAGAGAATGACATGAATGAATGAATGAATGAATGAAAGAATGAATGAATGAATGAATGAAATGAATGAATGAATGAATGAAATGAACGAATGAAATGAAATGAAATGAAATGAAATGAATGAATGAATGAATGAATGAATCAATGAATGAATGAATGAATGAATGAAATGAATGAATGACTGAAAGAAATGAATGAATGAATGAATGAATGAAATGAATGAATGAAATGAATGAATGAATGAATGAATGAAATG